TCATCCCACCTTGACATGTACCATGGAGAAGTCAAGAAAACAAAAGTCAGGCCTCATGAGACAGACATGTGACAGTGGTTTGGCTCATGACAGACTTTCAAGAGGCCCTGGAAGGCTGGACTGGTCCCAGGTCAACTTTGTCCTTGGGCCTTAGGGAGCAAAATCCATTAACCCAATTTTCAACTGGCAGATGGATTTCCCCCTCCCCACTCTTAGTCCCTGTGCTTTGGATGAAACGGACTATATCACTGTCCCCAGGAAGTAGGTGTGGTATTCAGGCCTGGCCAATCAGAGCATCATATTCCTCTGACCCAGTGGTAGGTTTCCATAATCCCAAAAAGATCTCTCATGCTCATTTGTAGTCATAAGAGGACTTCAGCTGAGGAGCTGGAGGAGATTCCCACATTCCCTCTGGCTGGGTCTGCCTGCAGTACCTGCGACAGGTACCATCAAAGAACTCAGGAATGAAGCAGGAACTACCAAAGGGAGAACCAAGAGATGGAGAAATACTGTGTCCTCTGGTCACAGGGGCCACTGGTTCAGACTCTGATCAAGCTGAACCTGAAGCCACTGCTTCCCCTGGACTCCTTAGTTACATGAACCAAGATGCTCCCTTTGGTCTTAAGTCAGTTTGACTTGGGATTTTTCCATCTCTTGCAATGGAAAGGCTCTCAACTGACTCCATAAATTATTGGCCAGACTCTAATGACTGAAGTTGAAATCTTTATTTGTTGGATATTGGGTTTATTTATTGATTGGACATTAGTTGGCTATATTAAGATAGGAAGGCCCTTCTTCAGATCTGTTATAATCATAAAATTGTTTTACACATGACCGTAGAGCCATTTTACCAATGAGGATTCAGCCCTGCAAAGGTAAGTTGCTTACCCAGGATGCATAGCAGAATCTGAGCCGTCCTAGACTCCAGGTAACCCTTCCTTACCACCTTATCATTTTCATCCAGCCTAGGCCTCCCCTCCCCAGGCTGTCTTCTCTGGGTTTCTTCTGTGGACCAGCCTGATTTCATAACCATCTTGCAAGGAAACTGAGCAGCATGGCCCCCAATTCCCTAGGTACCTGGTTGTGTTAAATAACAAAAAGTCAACTGGGTACATTTGAAGATCTCATTGGCTTTATTAAACTTTCCATGAGTCAGGCAACATCCCATCTAGCAAATAGAAAGGAGCTTTCTTGAACTGTAGGAAGGGGGAAGTTTTTAAAAGCTGAGAGGGAGTGGGGATAAGAGGAAAATTTTTTGGCGATGAATGCATTGTTTTAGGCAATGGGAAATGGAAAGGGCCTCTCAGGAAATTTCTAGTGCTGACCAGGAGATGCCACAGTAGCTCCTTATAAGTTATATCCCCCAAGAGGTTGAAACTACACTTAGGCTAGGTCTCAAATCCTGGTTTGCTTACGCGTGCCCTTGACATAAGTGACTCCACTTGGGGGCTGTGGTTTTCTCGTTAACAGAACTGACTAGTTAATCTGCTCCATGAATCTCCATAAATATGGGGCACATTGGGGCACCGTTCCTGGCTCACTTGTGTGCATTTGGTTGAGGCAGGCTGGTGCCTCCCAGGTAGCCACTGGTTTCCTGTGCCTTGGCTGGCCAGACCTGCTGAAGGAGGAAGAAAAGAAGCAAGCCAAAATCTTCATTTACCCTCAGATTATTTTATTTACCTGGAGAGACAAAAAGCTGGTCTTGAGCCCTGTTTCTGCCTCTGACAAGTCACTTGACCTTGGGTATAGACACTCATCGCCGCTCCCTCAATGGTAAGGGCAATTACGGTGACATCTTTCCCACCCCGTTCCCAGGACTGTTGGGAGAAGCATGGGTCGACATACATGATGAATGCTGCACACATACTCTGCAGAGTCCAGTGCCAGGAATGATGGTCCCTGTGTCTGGGGTCGCGATTCTCTATTACTGCATGCGCGTGTTGACATCTCTCATCGTGGCGTTATGTTACAGGGAGAGCCTCAAGTCGTATTACGTGTATGATCCTAAGAATGACAAGGCTTCTGGGACTGTATTTTGCAAATCAAAGCTGGTAATTTAAGGAACAATGGAATACTAAAAAAAAGGGGAGTGTTCTGGGAAATATGGAGAGATATTATAAAAAAAATGCTGAACTGGGAGTTCAGAGACTTGATCTCTTTTCCTTTCTCAGACCCTCAAGATCTGTCCCTGATCTTGAGCCATGGTGGCACCCTTGTGGGCTTCCGTTCCCCCATCTATAAAACCGGGGTGCTTGATCCCATTGTTTTATAACTGGGATGAGATTTTTTTTAAAAAGATTTATTTATTTTACATAGAGAGTGCACCCACAGAAAGGGGGAGGGATGAGGAACCCAAGCCGACTCCCCGCTGAGCATGGAGCCCAGTGTGGGGGCTTGATCCCACAACCCGAGATCATGACCTGAGCCAAAATCAAGAGTCAGATGCTCAACTGATGACGCCCCCCAACCTCCCCACTGGGATGAGTTTTTAATGTCCCCCCGGGGAAGATCCACAAAGGTAGTACATTTGTTTTTTTTTCTTGTTTGCGTTTCCAAGACATAGAAAAGCACCTTCAGAACAAGGTAGGTACTCAATAATTTTTTGATGAATGAATAAAAATTTATGAAAATTCACAGGTCTGGGTGCACTCCAGAATCCTCATGTAGTATGAGGTAGAACCTGTGCCTGTGTTTTGAAAAGCCCTGTGGATCATTTTGCCAAGCACTCCTGGCCGACAACTGCTAAGCTCAACAACCCCCAAGATTCCTTCCCTGCAGAGTTGCCAGGTTCAGCAAATAAAAACACAAAACATTCACACCCAATGAAGTCTGAATTTCAGATGAAGAATGACATTTTTTCAAGTGCACATGAGTAGCACACAGTAGTAAGTCATTGCGCCTCCTAGAAAGATAACCACATCAGGCCAGTGCTTAGGCTGATGGTTAGGGCCAGAGAGTGGAACCCTGAATATGACCCAGATTTCAGAATCAGACAGATAATCTTGGTATGAGTCTCTGCCTTGGTTGTGTAATCTTTTTTTTTTAATTTTTATTTATTTATGATAGTCACACACAGAGACAGAGGGGGAGAGAGAGAGAGAGAGAGAGAGAGAGAGAGAGAGAGAGAGAGAGAGGCAGAGACATAGGCAGAGGGAGAAGCAGGCTCCATGCACCGGGAGCCCGATGTGGGATTCGATCCCGGGTCTCCAGGATCGCGCCCTGGGCCAAAGGCAGGCGCTAAACTGCTGCGCCACCCAGGGTTCCCTTGGTTGTGTAATCTTAACAGATTGCTGAACTTCACCTGGCTTCATAACCGCAGTGTGCTTCCCGTAGGGTTGCTGAAAGTATTTGAGATCATTTGGTATGATGACTAGCACTTAGCAGGGATCTATACTCCTATAGCTGATATGTGCAGTTGGTTTGAAGAAAAAAAAATATCACCAAGACCTTCGTTGAATATATTGTCAGTTAGTAAACTGGCATTCTGAGGTGACCAAGATTTTAGTTAATAGTTCTAGGTAGACCTGAGCCAAGTCAGACTGAATGGTGACCTTCTGTCAAACAATGCCTCTATGTCTGGGGAAACAAAACATACTCAAAGTTAATAGATTACCCAGAAGAAATAAAGGAAGGAAGTTCTTTCATTTCAATCATTATGAAATGTCATTTCTTCACTGACTTTTTCTAACGTCAAAAGTAAACATTCACGTTTCATACGGTCACTTGACAGAGGGATAGGCCACTATTGGAGTGGTGACCTGGTTTATCTCTCTTCTAAGTTAAGAGCATCTTCTGTTTCCATAGTGTTTGCTGTTTCTAAAAATATCTGATACATCTCCTCTGGTTGAAGCATGAATACACGTGGCAACAGGTGTAAAATGTTTAATGAGAGGAAACAACTCTCTAGAAACACATGGTTAATGTTGGGTATATATTGTGTACAAAGACCGTCCCTAAGTGCTAGGGATACTCACTGAACAAAGTAGGGGTCAGTGAACAAGACAGACCTAGAGCCTTGCCTTGGTGGAGACTATATCCTGGGAATAGGGAGAAAAAGATAAGCGTCCTAAATAAATGAATTTTGTAGGACATGGATGGTGATGAACTCTATCGGAAAGGATCATAGGGGAGGGAAGGTGGGAGTAAGGAATGTGGAGTGGTCATTTTTTTTCTCTTCTTTTTTAAAATTTAAAATCAATTAACATAGAGTGTGTTATTAATTTTAGAGGTAGAGTTTAGTGATTTATCAGTTGCTTATAACACTGAGTGCTCATTATATCAAGTGCTCTCCTTAATGCCCAGCCCCTAGTTACCCCATGTCCCCACCCACCACCCCTCCAGCAAGACTCAGTTTGTTTGCTAGAGTTCAGGGTCTCTTATGGTTTGTATTCCTCTCTGATCTCATCTTATTTTCCCCTCCCTTACCCTATGTTCATCTATTTTGTTTCCTAAATTCCACTTTAGTGAAATCATATGATATTTCTCTTTCTCTAATTGACTCATTTCACTTAGCATAATATCCTCTAGTTCTACCTATATCATTGCAGATGGCAAGATTGCATTCTTTTTTATGGCTGAGTAATACTCCATTATCTATATATCTATATCTATCACTTCTTCTTTATTCATTCATATGTCAATGGACATCCAGGATACTTTCATTTTTGGAGTGGTCATTTTAAGTAGCACAGTAACAGTGGGCCTTGCTGGCAAGGTGGCATTTGGGAAAAGAAGGTGATAAAAGGAGCCATACTGATCTCGGGGATGAGAAGACAAACATCAGACATAAAAGATACAAGGCAGGGGCATGCCAGAAGTGTTCCAAGAGCAGTGGGGAGACCAGTGTAGCTAGAGTAGAGAGAGGGAAGACCATAGGAAGAGAGAAGACCCAGTCGCTGTTACTGTCTTAATCATGATGAGATATCCCATGAACCTAACTGTGAACTTGAGTCTTAGTTTATTCACTCTGTGTTTGCAGGGTCATCCTCAACTACCCACTTGGAATGATGGCTCTTAACTTGTAAAGCATCGTTAGGTTTGAGATTTACCTCACAAAACTGTGACCAGGGGAATCAGCACAGCTTGGTGAAGATAGATGTGCTTTAATCAATAGACTTGAGTTCCTGTTCTGGCTTCCTTGACCTGGGGCAAGGTACTTAACCTCTGTGCTTTGGGTTCTGGCTCTGAAATGTGTGAAATGAGATCACTCAAAGTGCCTCCTTTTAAGCTGTGAGGGTTGTAGAGAAGGTCCATGTAAAATCTGGATACAGCGCTTGGCACCCAGGAAGTACTAAATAGATACCATTGTTATTTCTTGAAAAGTATAATCAGGAGAATTGGGTCTTCTGGAATACCTATTTTGATGTATATTCAAAACGTATATTGAATAACTAAAACATGCTTTTGAGCAACAATGGCCTTTGAGCCAACCTCTGAGATTATCTCTCATGATCTCGTGTCTGAGGATTCAGACCCCTGTATGGTCCCCTCCCATATTGTATCAGGGTTGGTCTATGTGACCATAAATATGGCAGAAGTGATGCCACGTCATTTTTTAAGATTAAAAAGGCATTGACACTATGATCTTGATCTTTCTCCCTTTCTCTCTCTCTCTTAATCATCACTTTCTCTGGGGGAAGCCAGCTGTCCTGTCATGAGCAGCCCAATGGAGAGGCACCCCCTATGGAGGGGTCTACATGACAAGGAACTGAGTCCTTTTGCCAAGGACCATGTGAGTCAGAGCCTTTTTGGAAGTGGATCCAATGGGCATGGTCAACCTTCAGATGACAGCAGCCCTCACTGATATTTTGATGGCCACATCCTGAGAGCTCCTGAGCCAGAAACATCCACCAAAGCAGCTCCTAGATTCCTGAACCACGGACACTGGGTGAGATGATCAATACTTGTTGTCTCAAGCCATATATATATATATATATATATATATCAATGTATTGTTTGATTCCTCCCTCAGAGTCATTTCATATGTACCAAGAGATTGCAACATTCTTAGATTCTTTACTTGCTCTGTAGCATTCTTCATTATTGCTATGTCACATCATCTCAGACGTTCCTGATTATAAGACATTTGAGTTATTTTCAGTTTTCCAAATAACTGGCACAACAAAAGTATGCCCATAAAAAAAAGTAGTGTCCATGAGCTGGCCAGTGTCCTGAGAGTCCCATGGACTAAGTCCCTGCCCTGAGGTACTTGAAAGATGGACAACACAGAGGGGCCGAGTCCTCCTGAGGCACCCAGACTACCCAGGTATGGAACCCGAACTCTCGCACAGGGTAGGTAACAGAGCTGCCCTCTAGGCTGACCTAAGACCGTGAGTACAAAGGATCTGGGTGAATGTCACTGGTAAGATAATAATGACAATGGCTTTCTAGAATTCTGTGTGCTTCCTGGAGAAATACAGGAAAGACAATAAACAATAAAACCTTGGGGAGAAAAAAATCCTTGCCTTGGCTCCAGTCTCAAAGCAGAATTTCAGGGAGGGTGTCCCTGAACCAAAGCCATTGACCTCCCAACTCTGCATGTCTGCCTCCTGTCTCAGTGTTCTCCTCCCCTCCAACTGTGCTTTGTCAGATTCCACCATTGTGGCTGGAAGGAAAAAGTTGATTACGCCCCTCTTTGTTGAAATGCATCACCACGTTACACATCCCGGGTCTCTTGAATGTGGCATTCATTGAAAGGTTCTGACGTAACCAGATCCTCCAAGCAGGGAGCACCATTTCCCCAGCGTGGTTGGTTCTGGTGCCCATCGTTTGACTTTCCCAGCCTTCCCGACGAGGTTCGGAGGACCACCAGGTCTGCAAGCCGTCTTTCACCTTAAAAAAGATAATATATGATATAGGGAGCTGTGCTTACCCTATCAAGGAACAGTAAACACGGTCACCTCTAACACCGCATCAGGTTCACGGTCATCCATCTATTGAACTAGAGGCAGCCCTGCCACTGGGGGGAAGGTTAGCACTTCTTTAGCAACAAGAATGAGGTTGTCTTGACATTGGTGCTCCTTATTAGGTTTCAGCTGTGCTAATCCTCACTTGAATGTGGGGCAGCCTCCTTCCATCCTCTCAGTCACCCTAGCACCCATGGAAGATGCCGCTCCCTGTTCAGCTGCACTCAGAGGACCTTCATTTTCATCTGCTATTAAAAGTCTGTTTGATGAAACAGCAGCCAGGCTCAAGAGACCACTTGGTTGGTTGAAAACTCCCGGGTTAGAGAACGGTGCTGAGGTCAAGGTCAAAAAGTCATCAGGGCAGGATTTCCTTCCCAAAGGAGACAGTGTTTCAGTGACAATGACTCAGTGCAAGGTATCACTATTATGATTGAAACAAATACGAACAACAACACAAGACACGTCCAATGCAGTGCACACGGTGTACTAGCTGAAAGCGACCAGAGTGGTGAATTCTGACTCTGTGCCTTTGCAACCTGGGTTCGAATCCTGCCTCCACCACTTAGCACTGGCTTCCTGTGGCTACTTGAACCTCCCTGTCTTCATTTCTGCTATGTGAATAATCATCATGCCTGCCTTGCAAGACAATGAGGCTCTCAGTAAGTGTTACCAATTACTGAAATTAAATTCATGATGATACTTTATACCTCTTTCAAGCCAAAGTTTTTTATATTACAGGGAAGTTTGTACATGTGTTAACTCCTCCAAACTACAGGTACTTTCTTCTGTTTCTTCATCTTTGTGCCTTTGCAAAGCTTAACTCTGGGGACGCCTGGGTGGTTCAGTGGTTGAGCATCTGCTTTTGGCTCAGGGCATGATACTGGGGTCCTTGGATCGAGTCCTGCATCAGGCTCTCTCCAGGGAGCCTGCTTCTCCCTCTGCCTACGTCTCTGCCTCTCTCTGTATCTCTCATGAACAATAAATACAATCTCAAAAAAATAAATAAAACTTAACCCAGTGCTTTGGGCACAGTAGGCCTCCAGGAAATATTTGTTAAATAAGTAAATGTCCTAAATATAGTGGGTCTGCAGGGAAAGGCTTGTACACATAATCTCTCTAGTTAGAAACCTATGAGAATGTCATGTGCCTTTTGATTACTCTATAAATATTTTATATTAGTAACAAGAATGTAATGAAGATGATTATTATGAATAAAGATTACCCTTAGCTCAAATTTTTCTGAACTTGGGGTTATGTCCTTCTGCAGTAGAGAAAACTTGTTCATCCAGGGTTTCAGCTTAGTGCCGACTAAACCCTAACTGACTTTGCCAAATAAAGCAAATGAATCAATGTGTTCATTACCTTTCAGGCAGTAATTTCCAGGAACCAGAATGTGGGGCTATCATGTTGTAGGCTGCCATAACTTCTTTTCTTTCTAGATTTAGATAATAATTCCATGTTTTCTGACACAGCAACTAGAGTATTTTACAATCATTTCCTCGGTTTCATAATGCTTATAACTAACTGGCAAACTAGTGAAGTCTGGGTTGTGAGCTTTGAAACATAGAAAGAAGCAGAGCTGGTTCTATGGGCCATTCCCTTCTGCTTCTCTATTTTAGCTTCCTCCAGCAAGGGAGGTGGGAGTGCTGTTTTGGAACAGAGGACTACAAAGAACCACTGGCAATAGGTAAGTGTTCCAGACTGTGAGTCATGGACTAGGGTTTTGTAATATTAATAAATGTTCTTCAGCAAGAAGACTCTTTAGTGGTAGTAGGAACTGAGCAAAGGGGAGAGACATATAGCTTCCCTTAATAAAATCTAGAACCTCCAAGGTTGGCCTTGGAAAAGGATCCATACAGACGGTGAATCCAGTGGTCTCAACTGTGCAATACACCCCCCTCACCCCATTTACCTTTTCTTTGAGGGAGACTCACTTGTGTCCATGTTTGCACATACACACTCCATCACATGCACACATGCACACACACATTCTTGCCACTATGACTTCTCTTTAATAATGGGACATAAAACAGACAAAACACTTTCCCTAAAAGTGTTTGAGGAAATATCTCTAAATATCAAATATCTCTAAAATATTTAAGAATGACAAAAACTTAAAGAAAAGTGTCAATGAGGGCAGTCCGGGTGGCTCAGCGGTTTAGCGCCTCCTTTGGCCCAGGGAGTGATCCTGGAGACCCGGGATCGAGTCTCACGTCGGGCTCCCTGCATGGAGCCTACTTCTCCCCTGGCCTGTGTCTCTGCCTCTCTGTCTCTGTCTCTGTGTGTCTCTCTCTTCTCTCTCTCTCTCTCTGTGTCTCTCATGAATAAATAAATAAAATCTTTTAAAAAAATGAAATAAAGAAGAGAATGAGAAAGGATTCTCAATTCTACCTGTCCCAAAGGACTAGTGTTACTTTGGTGACCTCTTGGCCCAGCGGTCTTCCTTGCTCTTTCCTGATTTATCTCTTTGCTGCCATGCACCTCATTTGGCTTGAATGCCTGGGACCTTCAGGGCGCCATATTCCTACCTGCGGCATACCCAAGGCCCATTCTGGTCCAACTCATTCTGGGGGGTTTGATCCTTATGGTGATGTGAGGTTGATATTATTTCCATTTCACAGACAAAAAGCTTGAGTGGTACGGAGGTAAAAGAGTTGGCTGCCGCTACTTGCACACAAGTCCCTATATACGGCAGAAGACCAATTGCATGACATGAAGGTCCACCATGCCAATGGTCTGACAGGGTATATACCTCAGAACCAGGGCAGATGCCCTTTTACTGCAAAGCCTGTATAACTCCTGGTAGTGTTTATTATTAATATACCAGATAGCTTAACTGAATCCTGAGGGAATGGGCACAGGAGACATTGGTTTTGATGGAAAAGGAGAGTGAGGAGAATGTTCTAAACATGGGGAGACAGTTCTCATTATGACCCCAAGTGTAGGGTACAGGGCCACATGACGTCATGGGGTGATAGCAAATAAATAATGTGTGTTTAAAACGGGCCTGTTAGAAATATGCCACAATCTGAAGTAACTGTATCTAGGTGATAGAGCCATAAATGATTGTTATTCCTAATTTATCCGTTTCATATTTTCCCAAAGTTTTTTTTTTCCTAATAATGGGCATGCATTACTTTTATAGTCTGAAAAACTACTAAGTTTTAACTAATAACATTGTTAGTGTATGCTAGAGCATGAAAGCATAACTATCAAATAAAAAATGTCTGTGCTTCAAAGGGCATTATCAAAAAAGTGAAAAGACAATCCACAGAATGGAAGAATATATTTACCAATCATATACCAGATAAAGGACTAGTATTCCTTATCAGATAGAAGACCCTTTACAACTCAACAATACAAAGACACATAATCCAGTGTAAAAATGGACAAAGGATCAGAACTGACATTTCTCCACAGCGGATATATGGATGGCCAAAAAAAGGATATGAAAAGATACTCAGCATCATTGGTCATTAGGGAAACATGAATTAAAACCACGAGATACCACCTCACATCCACTAGAATATATATAATGAAAAAGATAGATGACAGTGACCATGGGCAAGGGTTTGGAGAAATCAGAACTGTCATAATGGGAAGGTAAGATAGTATGATCACTTTGGAAAAGTTTTTCAATTCCTTGAAAAGTTAATCATAGAGTTACCATATGGGCAAGAAATTCTACCCCTGGATATAGACCCAAGAGAAATGAAATCATTCTTCCACAGAAACTGGTACATAGTCGTTCATAGCAGCATAGGGCAGCATAGAGCCAAAAAGTCGAAACAATCCACAATGTCCACCAGAGGATGAATGGAAAAACAAAGATGTGGTTTTATCAATACAAGGGAATATTATTCAGCTATAAAACGGAGTACTGATACAAGCTACAGTGTGGATGAACTCTGCAAAATACCACGTTCAGTTTAAGAGGCCAGACACAAAGCCTTCATATTGTATGTTTCCACTTACGTGAGATGTTCAGTAAAGGCAAATTCCTAGAGACAGGGCAGATGAGTGGTTGCCCGGGGCTCATTGTGGGGACAACTGAGGAGTGACTACTGATGGGTGTGGGGTTCCTTGTTGGAATTGATCAAAGTGTTCTGGAATTAGGGAGTGACAGTGGTTACAGGACTATGAGTATATTCCAAACCACCAAACTGTAAACTTTAAGAGTCAATTTTATGGTGTGTGAATTGCATCTCAGCAGAAAAAAGGACTAAAAATGAAGGAAATTTTCAAATACAAATCCACCAAAAAAAAAAAAAATTCAGAGTCTGCCTTACTTTTGACCGATTCGGTTTCGGGGCCTGTGGAATAAATACTCACTGACTAAATATAATGAAAGAAAAAACACAGGATGGAGAGCACTGTGTGCATGCAGGAGCCCCCCAAAACCATTCTCCCTCTTACTCCTAATCACCTGGGGGATAAAAATTCTTTTCACAGAACTGTGCACATGGGGCAGAGAGAGGGTAGAGATCTACTAAACCCATACGCCCTATTCTACGGATGAAGAAACAGGCCCAGAAGGAGGAGTTTGCTCACTGCCCCCCTCTCCCATGAGCTGCAAAAGGACTGATGCGCTTTCCTTGTCCCCCCCACCCCACGTATCTTTTTTTTAATAAATTTATTTTTTATTGGTGTTCAATTTACCAACATACGGAATAACACCCAGTGCTCATCCCGTCAAGTGCCCACCTCAGTGCCCGCCACCCAGTCACCCCCACACCCCACCCTCCTCCCCTTCCACCACCCCTAGTTCGTTTCCCAGAGTTAGGAGTCTTTCATGTTGTCTCCCTTTCTGATATTTCCCACTCATTTTTTCTCCTTTCCCCTTTATTCCCTCTCACTATTCTTTATATTCCCCAAATGAATGAGACCATATAATGTCCCATGTATCTTTGAGCTGCTTGTTGCCTGTCCTTTTAACAGTCAGGGCCACCGGTTCAGGAATTAGCAGGCGGGCTTTGCCTGAACACAGCAACACAGTGCTGAACGGAGCAGCACTGATTTCACAGCTTCTTCCTCCCAAGGACGAGCATTTCACTTTTTGAGGTTTGATGACTCTTCACTTTAACCTACTTGCAAAATAACTGTGCCCAGTGTACGGGGCCTTGCTGGTGTGTGCTCTGCTGGAGAGGTGGGGGTGGGGGTGGGGGCCCTAATGCCCTCAAGAAAACCGGTGACCCACCCGAGAGCTGGCATTAATGGTTTTTTGTAATTGGTGGTGGTTTTTGTTGTTGTTGTGTCTGTCTCAGTAACACTTGGTTTTATAAAGTTGGTTCTTCTGTCCGGTTTATTCAAACCATTTTCATTTGAAAGAGGACTCAAGCCACCGTCTCCCAATCTGCACTCACATCTCTCTCTGTCCCTCTCTCTCTCCCAGCTGCGACTGCTCTGAATCTGAGCCTCACTTCCTAGTTGGCTCTCGGCTCGCGAGGCGGGCACTGCGCCTCCCCCGCCCCGGGGTCCCCCAGCACGTGCTCGCTTCTGGACTCTGCTCCCCGCCCCCCCCCCCCCCCCCCCCCGTCCTGCGGCCGAGCGGGCCCTGGCAAAGGCGGCGGGAGGTCCCTGGCCACCCCGGGGACGGTCCTGCTCGGGCACCTGCCAGAAGCGAGGGCCCTGCGAGACCACCTGGGGCCACAAGCGACCCCAGCGCTGCAGTTCCCCAGCGGAGGGGTGGGGGGTGGGGGCAGTGAGCCGCGCTGCAGGCGGGCGGGGATATTAGCCGCGGTCCCTCCGGGCCGGGACGATCGGCGGCGACCGAGTCGAGTTTCCCGGGGGGCGGGGGGGTGCATGTCGGCCCTCCCACGGGGGAGGAGCGGGCACACGCGGAGGGCGCTCCCCTGCCGGGCGCTCCGGGGGCGGGCGGGGGCGGGGGCGGAGGTGCGCGAAGGTGCCTCGCGGGCCTGGCGGGTTGGGGCGGCGCGCAGGCGCACTGGGGCCAGCCCGCCGGCCGGGTCCCGGGGTACAAAGGAGCGCGGCGCCGCGCGGGGGCCCCCGGAGGTCTCCGGAGCCGCCTGGGGAGGGGGGTCCCTCCCTCCCTCCCGCCCCCCCCGCCCCCCCCGCCCCTCCCCGGGCGAGCGCGGCTGGCCGGCCTCCCCCGACTGGTTCGCCCTCGCGGGGGCGGAGGGGCCCGAGAGCCGCAGCCCGTTTCGGGGTTTAATTCTGGCGCTTGCTCGCCGGCGCCGGCTCCGCCCCCCGCGCCCCGCCCCCCGCGCCCCGCCCCCTCCGCCGAGGTCCGGGAGCCCGGCGGGCGCGGAGCCGCAGGTCGGGGAGCGCGCCCGGAGGTGAGTGAGGCGGCGCCGCGCTGCGCCCCGTGCCCCGTGCCCGGCGGGGTGGGCGCGGGCAGGCGGACTCGGCGCGCGCCGGGGGCCAGGGCACCCCGCGGGCTCGCGCTCGCCTGCCCCCCGCCCCCGCCCCCGGCGGCCTCGGGGCGGGCCCGGGGTCGCGGTCCCAGGGGTTGCTTGGGCCCCTGCAGCCGCCGGGCCGCGGAAAGTGCGGGCGGGGGGCGCCTGGGCGCCCTGGGGGCCTGTCCTGCCCGGGACCCGGTGCGGACGCTCCCCGAGGCGGCTCCGGGGGGCGCTCCGGCTCCGCTCCGCGCGCGCCCCGGCGGGCGGCCCCTTGATCCCTGCGGCCCGGAGCGGCAGGTGGCCTCGCTCGCCCGCCCTGCGCCGACTCGGCGCTGGCTCCGGCCGCGGTCGGCGGGGTCGGCGGGGTCGGCGGGGTCGGCGGGGTCGGCGGGAGGGAGGGGGAGGGAGGGCGGGGGCGCGCCCCGGGCCAGGCGGCGTCAGGCCCGCGGAGGCTGCGAGCGCCCTGGAGCGCGCCGGGTCCCCGACGTCCCCTGTCCCGCGCCACCTGGGCGCACTCGCGGGGTCCCGCGCCCCGGGCCGCCGCCGCCGCTGGCGCCCTCCGCGCTGCCCCTGGGCCCCCGGGGAGCTTCCGGAGGCGGCTCCTCGCGGGGGTCCTGCGAGTCCGCGGGAGCCGCTCCGCACCGGGGTGAGGCGCGACGGGAACCCTCCGGGGCGTCCCCCAGTGCGGGCGGCTGCACCTCGTCCCCGCGAGCTTCGTCTCTCCTATTAATTAGTGAAACGTACCAGGGCGACGGCCCGGGACCCACAAGGCGGGGCGGCCCACCCGCGCGCGGTTGTGCGGTTTCTCGCCGGCCTCGCTGCCCGGCATCCGAGTTGGAGGGAATCAGAACCTGCTTCCTCGTTTTCCAATTCGTGGTTTTAGCCAACTTGATTTCTTAGGTGATGCTTAGCTGCTCATCTGCTAATTGTTCCTTTCATCCAACTTTCACTTCCAGAAAGTGGGGCACTCCCGCGTTGTACTTATTTTAAAGACTCAGGTGTAATAAACATGCCCTAAAATGTACCCTTTTAAAGTGTTCAAGTCCGTGGTGTTTAGTGTATTCACGAAGTTACTCGGTCGTCACTGATTCCAGAACATTTTCGTCACCCTCCCAAAGGAACCCCATCCCCATTAGCAGTAATTCCTCATTTCACCCTCCCGCAGCCTCCTTCCTTCATCTTACGGTGTGGTTTTTCCCAGATTGAATTAGAAATTGAGAGATTATTAACTTCAGACCCTTTTTAGTTAATGGATTTGAGGGAAGGTGCTGCCGATGAGGCGGTGGAAGAAAATTTAAGTAGGGACTGTCCTGTGGTGAGATTAGTGTCTAAGGATGCAGGAGAAGGGGCCAGTGGCAGAGTGATGGTCTCCTAAAGAGGCACTTCCATGAGGGACGCATTTTATCCCCCAGGTGGGGGGGGGCACAGGGGTGCTTTGGGGCACTTTGTGAGGTTCACAAACCCCTCTAGTGGAGGTTCCACCTCAGAAAAAGAGAGTTCTGTTCTGTGTATGTGTGTGTGTGTGTGTGTGTGTGTGTTTCAGTGGGAAAAATGATAGAGCAAAAAGGAGCAAGGTTTTAAAAATAATTTTGTTTTAAATCATCCAAACTGGCCCAAAGAAAAGAAACCACAGGCAAATGGCCACTAGAATCGATACAGTCAAGACCTAGGTTCGTTTTGTGAATGTCAGCATTTGCTCACAAATAGTGCCAGGAGCTGATGTGTTCTTGCATTAGCCTCCTTAGTCCTGGGAGGAGGGGGAGGAGGGGGGAGGGTGTAGCTGAGGAAATTCAAGGAATTGGGGAGGACATAGGAGCAAGGCTGACACAGGCAATTGCTTGTGGGAGCAGAGGCCTGTCTGTAGGGCAAACAGGTTCAGAAGCAGCAAGGGGGATCTCAGGGAGAAATTACAGACACATCACTCAGGCAGCTGTTGGATTATTTGTGCATGTTTAAAAAAAAAAAAATCAGTGGTGAGCAGAGTTGAAGCAGCCCAAATGACACAACCATCTTTACACTTCTCTTTGGCCCTGCAATCAGAGAAGCCAAGTTGGTTTCAAATGTTGTGGGACATTTTATGCCTCTGTCGCATGGGTGGCTTAGCTTATGCCATCTGTTTTTTGTTTTAAGTAATTGTTAAACTATAGCATACATACCAGTCGTAAGTGTACAGTGTGATGAATTTTCACAGTGAACGTAAAGTTATAACTCGCACTGAGATAAAGACACAGAATGTTGCCAGACTGCAGAAGACTCCTGCTCTTTTCCCATCACTTTTCTTCCCATGGTAACCAGTGTCCCAGCATAGATCAATTTTGTTCATGTTCTATGTGTGTGGTATAATCTAGTATGTTTCTTGTTTGTTCCTTTGTTTTTCAATCTGGCTTCTTTCTCACCAAAGTGATTTGGTGAGACTTAGCAGTGTTGCACATGGCTCTAATTCAGTCATTATCTTTACTGTGCAAAGTTTCATTGTGTGACTATGCCCCAAATTATCTATCTGTTCTAGGGTTGATGGGCGTGTGGGTGGTTGCCGAATTTTGACTATGGCCAGTAGAGTGGCTGTGAACATTGTAGCACATGTCTTGATACACTTGTACACATTTGCTTAGGGTATATGCATAAGAGTAGAAATGCTGAGTTCTAGACTCTTCAGTTTAGAAGATCATGCGAAACATCCCAAAGCGCTTGTATGGTTAATACTTCTTCAAGCAGGATGTGAGAGTTCTGTCCTGTTTTAAACTGCCAAAGCAGGGCAGCCCGGGTGGCTCAGCGGTTTAGCGCCGCCTTCAGCCCAGGGCATGATCCTGGAGACCCGGGATCGAGTCCCACGTCGGGCTCCCTGCATGGAGCCTGCTTCTCCCTCTGTGTCTCTGCCTCTGTCTCTCTCTCTCTCGATTAAATAAATAAAACCTTTAAAAAATAAAAATAAACTGCCAAAGCAGTAAATCTACCAAGAGTTTCACAGATGGGCAAAAGGTGACCCATATTTGCCCCATTCTAGCAGATTATTTCAGTTGTGTTCACTTTGGGTGCTTTTCCACCTCTGGTCCTGTTTTTATGAAGTCATAATAGTCAATTTGGTATTTTGTTTCTCTTAACAGTATGTCTTAATATTGCTCAGTCTCTGTGACTTTCAAATTCCTGCACACATCCACAATCCCGTGGACAGGCTTCCATTTAAATAAGCCCCCACACACAACCGGCAATGAGTGTTAATTTTTTGGAGTTGTACATATTGCTACAAAAACCATCTGTGCATATAGTTTCCGCCCCCCCTCTTGTTTGGGTCATTTCATAAACTAGAGACTCTCGTTTTTATGGCTCTAGGTCCATGTGGTTAAACTACTACCTGCAGAACCCAGCTGTCCTTGAATCTAGTACAGAATTGTTTAAAGTAACCTTTAAGTGGCTAATATGTTACCTGCAAAAAAGGTGTCTAATTGGCTTAAAATGTAACTCTCGAAGTAACAGTGAAGTTGACCCTGATACCCCCTTTTTAAATAGTGTAAATGGGACTATTGTAACTTCATTTGCCAGTCATGTGATTTTTCTTTATATTATGCTTTTTTGCAAAGGTACTAAGCTAGGAGTTTTAGGGGGTATAAGAGGAATCATCCATTAAGTAGCTGGTTGTCCAGAAATTATGTACAAAAATTAAAAGTAGCATCTAGGCAGAATCCTTACATGTGACAAAGGAGTGTTTAGTTCACTTCCCAGATATTGACTGCTTCTGTGAGTTCTGAATCAAAAGAGGTCTTTCTTGCCGGGATGGTTAGGATCGGCTTCTCTGAAATGTAAGACTTGAGCTGAGCTTTAAGGGATCCTTAGAAATTGGTGGGGAGAAGATATCTCCGAAGAAAATACCACTGAGTTATCTGAGGAAGGGAGATGAACAGTACACAGCCCATTCTGGACAGTGGGAATGATGCCAATCTTATTCTTTTTCTGAAATATAGTGAAAATTGGTGAACTAACATGAAGGCAAAAAAAAAATAATTAGAGCTTTTGGGGAGAAAACTTTTTTACTTTCAAGTCAGCATCATGGGGTTCGATTATGAATACTTGCCAAAGATTACCATGCAGTGGGCTTCTGCATTGCCTGGTTATGTGGCTCTAAACTCACTCTTTCAAATAAAATGCAGCAAAAATTTCCCTAAACGTGCCTGTGGAATAAGCCAATATCAGCTTACCTTTAGAAAATAATAAATACTTTCCTACTTCTATGCAAGACCCTGGTGAGGAAATCCAGAGATCCTCACAGAGTTCGTAGCAAGTGGGGAGATAGAGAATTATAGTAGGAGGCAGAAGGATGGAAATACTTGCTATTAATGGCCCATTCTGGAAATGTAAAGGGTGGAAAAATTAATGCTGAGAGGTTTGTGTGATATTTAAGGAGATCGGGCCTTGGAAAATGTAGGCAGGTGGAGATTAGAGCAAAGGGCATTGCATTTTAGGGCATAGCTTTTGAAAATGTAAAGGCTTCTGGTAGGGCTTGATGTAATAGTTTGGTCAGTCACCTCTTTGGAGACTCAGGTGACTGGCAGCTTGAGATTATACTCTTTGTCTAGTGGCTTCCTACTGCCAGGCTAACCTGGTTATCTTTGTGGACATGTTGCTCTGGGGCCAGATTGGCTGATGTGAGTATAGGTTGTGTTGCTTGCTGTGTGACTTTTAGCACAGTTACTGAACCTCTCTGTGGTTCTGTTCCCTGTTCATAAAACGAGGATGACAAAAGCACTCCCCTCATGGAATTACCTGAGGATTAAGGGAGTTAAAATGCTAGAGGGTCACTGGGGTGGCTCAGTTAGTTGAGTATTCAATTCTTGATTTTAGCTCAAGTCATGATCTCAGGGTGTTGGGATCAAGGCCCGTGTCAGGCTCCACGCTCTGTGTAGAGTCTGCTTGGATTCTCTTCCCCTCCCTTGACCCTCCTG